AAACCTTATATATATATATATATATATGGTCTGGTTTTGGTGCAATTTTTTTTTTCTTTTAACCAAGATGAAATAAATTTAATCTTCTTTGTCCTCAAGTACATTTGACTAGCCAATTAGGGGTGTTCATCAAATAACCGATTAATTGGTATATATGTATATATAATATATATAATATTATATTTTTTATTTATAAATTTATAAAAAATCAAGGATCAATTTAATTTGAACATTTTATCCATAGTTCGGTTAACTGAACATTTCTCTCTCTCTCTCTCTCGCTTATTCACATTAAATATTGTTGGCCTACTTATCAATCACAGGCATGCCAAATTGTACATATGAAAATTAATTGATTCTATGACCTCTAGCACTTTGCAAAAAATGTTGATTTAGTTTCTTAATAATTTTAACCTTTAGATACAGAGTTTTTCATCTTCTTCTTGGTCAACACTCCATTAATCAACCAATGTTAATAGTTTAGGTTCTCTCAACCAATAAGTTAGATTCAATCGATTCTTAATGAAAAATTGGGAAAGACTAAATGTAGAAACAAATAAATTCAATTGCTAAGGACATTGGAAATTTATTAAAATTAAGAGCAACTTCCTAATTACTATTCCAATCTCTTTGAATACTTGAATAGACTGAACTCTTTAACCAATTCAAAATTCCAAAATCAACTAAAAGCATACTACTATGGATGCAAGAATACAAGAACCAGAAGAAAACCATGATAAAAGAAATAATAGAAGAGAGAGAAACTAATATATTTACAATTTTACATACAAACATAGATATATCCCTTCTTTTTTTTTTATAAGTTCCTTCAGTGTCCTATTAGATTCTTTCTCCTAAACGCAGTTTTCAGCTTTTAATAGTGATCCTCCTAATATTTTAAGTTTACCCTGATTAAAGCTAGGAAGTATTAATGCTCTATTTTGAGAAATATGCATATTCATCTGTTTTACCTCCTTTTAATTAAGAAGTGCTTTGGGTACATTATGCCCTCATTAAGAGTCAATAAGTTCTTGCTTTAAAAGACAAAGGGACACCTATATACCATTCTCTATTTCAGCAAATAATATTATTAAGCCAAAAATAAACTTCTATGACATTCCATCTCAATATCCCAAACCAACTACTAGGAAGGAACCTTCATATAGTTATCACCATGGTTCAAATTATGTAACAAACGACATAATGGGGGTGAAAACTCATGCATTGAAATTTGTTTCAGATTTCAAGCTCTGAATCATGAATCATGGCATATGTGGAAAGGGTATATACACCATTGAATATGGCCATTTGTCATAATTCCTTGTATTCAATACATTAGGGCATGAAAATAGAAACATATTGTATTGTGTGGTATGTATTGATACCTTGAACACTTTATTATCACAAGACTTGAACCCTAATGACACTTTCTAACAATAAATAAGTATAAAAAGCCACATACATAACCATATATTCTATTTACATATAACATACATAAAGCTTTAAATTAAAAATAAAAAATAAAAAAAAGGTCCATCAATATGATCATATAATGGTTGAAGCCTCTAGTCCCCAAAACATATTCCTCTTATATTTGCTATAATCTGTAAAGGATTTCAACACAGCCTAAACAAAACATAGCATCAGTGTATTATCCCCATGCCACTTGCAAAAACCCATAATTCAACTTCTACAAACCCTATTAGCTATTGGCATGGTTTAATTTTTGTTGAAATGTCATAAAATTTCAGTTTGTTAAGTTACACTAATATGTTAAACCATACGTTTCACCCATATCTATTTCAGCAGATTTTTTAAAAGGGAACACCTCAGATAACTTGTATGGAAATATTTATATTTCATTCAAATTTCAGCTTTTAATGGGTTTTAATATATTTTTAACTTGAAATATTAATAATTTTATCATTACTCTTCAACAGCCAAAATAACAAAACTTAGGTTTAATGATTCAAATTTAAATTCTCAGAAATATTGGTTTGGCCTTTTAACCCTAATTACCGTTAATCACAGAGAACATATATAGCCAATTTTGTTATTGATATCTTGATAAGCGGCACCCATGGTACTTTCAACACGAGTGGTGATTTGATATGAGAGGGCTGGCCTGGTCCCCCCCAACAAGGATAAACTCATGAAAAGAGGGATCAAGGCTCTCAATAAGCAAGAAAGAAACAAATTAAGCTAGGACCCTCTGGGGCCAACACAAAATCCCAAACACGCCCTACTCAAGTTAGGAAAAGTGGGTTTGATTTAATTGATTTCATAGTTGATGTCCCTATGACACCTTGCAAACACTGAATTTATTCCCTTGTGCCCTTAAAATCTTGTATATGAAAGTGGGATCCTAATCAAATATTATCCATTGCCTCAAGGCAGTTGGGCTCGTCCTGGTTGCAAGAATAGATGGCTGAGCAGACATGACAACCATAGTGATGTGGCATAGGGAAAGAGAGAGAGAAAGAGAGGAGAGAGAGAAATGGGTCATGTCCAACATGTCCCCAACAATTGTCCAAGTGAGTCCAAATTGCTTAAATCCAACATGTCAGACATAACTGAAGCCGAATAGGACATGCGTCCTCAAAGCTGTGATCGATAGAATTGTCCTCCGGCCAAAGCCAACGTTAATCCAAGTAGGAATTAACATTGGGCCTTCACTCACTCGCAAAAAGAGGGCGGTGGGGGACACACTTCTGTGCCCGGCGCGTCAGTTGTGGAATAAAACAAAGTGCTCTTTGCTCTCTGCCCCTATCGATTATCGATCTGCCCCCATTCAAGCTTAAGTTAATACCATTTTTTTTTTTTTTTTTTTTTGTATAAGAATGGGAATGAATCATTTTGTCATACAATTGGTGAGTGTCATTACTCATTAACATAAGCATGGTTTGGCAATATGAAAATCAGTAGAAAAGAAAAACCCTTCAATTACCATGTCGGATTGGTCATTGGACTCTATAGAGTATAGATATCAGACTGTTATTGTAATTTGTGAATTGATAGTGACTTGTTTGGCCTCTGTATGCTAAATGAGGGTTATGGATTAGACGATTGTTGTGCATGGAAAGTAGATCACAACCCCTCTGCACCTCTGTCTCTTGGCGGTACAAAAACCAAAGGCATTTATAGTTGGAAACAGAAATTGAACAGAACCCAACCCCACCTGACCTTTGTTTCTAACCTTTGAGAGAGAGAGATTCAACTAACCATCTCCAAACATTTTTTCCCTAGTGGCTCTTGTACACATGGTTCAGTAGATTTTCAGTTTTAGAGTCACTCTTGTTTAATTTAATGCCTATTTGGGAGGGCTGATGGGTTGAGGCTGTTGATGTTCCGAGCTGCGCCTATATGGGAATGTCAGAAGCTGTGTTTGGTAAAAATTTGAAAAGCCAACATGGGTTTCCTGAAAAATGAAAACCCAAACCACTGCTCAAATATAAATCTACTCTGAATAACTTTTCCAGAACAACCGATAATGTTCAACCACCATAGCTCAATTAACAACACAACACACCTCAAATGAAAAAACCCTCCCAAACGGGTTCTTACTGTTGAGTTTTGAGTTAAAGGCACATTCATCATTTGATTTGATTTGGGGAACTTAAATTCTTAATTGGCTGACATGCTTAAAGGGTTTTTAGGCCACCTCATACATCATTAGCTTAATTTGTACTTTCAGCCCAATAGGCAGTGTTTGGTTCCATGTTGTTTTCCAGTGATGGGCCACCCATCAAATCTGTGCATAAAAGGAACCTCTATGGCCTGTGGGTATATATTTTCATTACTAGGGAGGAGCATTGAGCATTGAATAGAATTAAACGTGCAGCTCTCTCCATGCAATCCATCTTACTTCACATTCTGCTCAAGTGTGCACAGCATCAATGACCCCTGCACACTGTGGTTGAGACGTTGAGTCAGGATTCTTCCTCATAAGTCATACCTTCAACAACAAATGCAACCGCATTTAGTTAACAAGCAACCATCTTTTCTAAGAGATTGGATCTGTTCCTCACACAGGGTGTCTGACACCGATCTCACATTCACATCCTACCATGCATTAGGAATATCTTTCATATTTATAAGTTATTATTCAAAGGAGATATTCTCAATTCACGGTGGATGTACCTGTGAGGCACCCATGTGTGAAGAGCAGATCCCATTCCCTTCCCTAAGCCATTTCTACCTTTAAAAGTAAAATGGTACTCAAATGGGTTCCTTCTTTGTCATGTGACCAGTTTAGATTTAATAGACTTTTGCCACGTGGCTACTTCTACATTTCTAATGTAATCCTTTTTTTCCTTCATTGAATTTTAAAACTCTAATTTTTCCCTTTTGACTGCATTAATTTCTTCCTTTAATGCACATGACAATCCCATTGGTTCTTTTTTTTGTGAGTTTTTTCTTTTAAAAATTTTTATAAATAATATAGAAAAAGAAAATGGGTTCTGTTCATCAACCGGATGATACTTTTTTTTTTCTTTATTCAATCAAGTCAATAAAAGAGTCTAAAGCTAAACACAACAAGACCAACCGCTTTGGTCACCCATACACACCTAGCACACAATAGCAAACCATAGTTTCCGTGTAGGCACCTTCAATCAAAACTTGAACGTTTTGGTCTTTAACTCTAAACCAATTTGTCCTAAATTCCCTCCTTTTAATATGCATCTCTCTCTCTCTCTTTCTCCACCTTCACCATTCTCGTTTTGGCGCCTATTGAGGGCACGAAAACACTTCCCAGTTCCCAGACTCAAAATCCTTACTTAAGGTCTAGATATGCGTACCACGCACCCATCCATGCGGGTATGCGTATCACGCATCCATGCACCATGCAGGCACAGGCATGCACTCATGCCACATTGTCACTCTAGAGAGTAGAGACCCATCATACAATACAAAATAAATAAATAAAGTAATAAAAAGAAAATATACACATGGGAATTATATCAAATAAAAGAATTTATATATGAATTAAATTTCAAAAGCCAAACTAAATTAAAAAAAAAAAAAAAAGAAAAGAAAAGATGGCATCACCCATGTACATTACCCCAAGAGACCTCCAGGTTCTCCACCCAAAAGAAAAAAAACTCAAAATTTGAGTCTTGGTGGATTTTTTTTTTCAAAAAAGAAAAAGAAAAAAGAGAGCTCAGAGAGAGAAATCTCTGTACTTTATGTTTTTTTAATTATTTAAAATTAATCGATTTTTTTTACTTGCTTTTTTTTCTTGTTTACTATGTACTTCAGTGCTACTACGTCGGCTGGCATGGGCCTGGAACTGGGCCGTGGGCTTGGGCCTCACGAGAGGTAGACTTCAACGCTAGCGCTTCTGGGAGTGAGGCAGAGAGGACAGGCTTCGGCGGCAGCATCACAATCCGTACAGAGGCAGAAATGCCGACACGGCAACAGTACCACCGACGCGGGTCTTCTCCGACACGCTTTACACATTGGGCCGGACGATACGACTCGCTCCGGGTCAATGTAAGCTGACTCGGCATCTTCTGCATGATGCGGATGCGCCTCACCGGAGCACCCGAGTCCATCTTCTCGGTTATCCGGCACACCGCTGCCCATCATAGCCTGCTGAATTTGAGCCTGTAGGGACGCCGCTGTGGCCTCTTGTTGCCTTGCCTTGGCTTGCCAAACCTGCGCCTCTACTCTAAGCTGCGCCACTCGCTCTTCCAGCTCAGCATGTCTCCGCACTGCTTTCTCCACCTCCGCATCCTTCTCCCTCAGTCTTCGCGCTGCAGATTCCTCCGCTGCGCCCAGTAGCGCACGGTAGTGCCTCTGTCGTCTCTCCGCTAATGTGCGCCTCAATTGGTCCCCCTAAACGAATAAACGATAAACCAACCATTTTCAGTTTTAGCGGAGCAACAAACACCAAAAACTAACAAATACCCATTGAAGAAGATGAGAAAACAGTACCTGGGCTTGAAGGAATTGATCAATTTCGTCTCTCTGTTGCTTGACTTGAGCAGCGAGATCTTCTGTTAGAAAGGATGAGATAACCGAAGAGGGAAGAACAAGAGTCTGCTGTTGCTGCTGCTGTTGCTGTTGTTGTTGTTGATGGTGATGTTGATGTTGTTGTTGTTGGTCTCCGAAAGCCAGACGAAGGCCGGTAGAGACGACATTGAGTTGTTGGTTATGGAGTTGAGAGAGGTTCACCAGCGTCTGTGGAGTATGGGATTGCGGAGAGAATAGATTGATAGGTGCCCCAGTTGCCGCAGCAGCGGCGAAAGCTTCTCTGCCTCTCTTGCGTGGGTTGGTGCCCACTGCAATGAACGATACAAGAGGCACATCTTAGAACTATGTTCACCTAGTTTAAGCACCTAAAATTGGCCTAATCCAGAGGGAGAAAAAGAAGGTGTAGAAAATAAATAAATAAAGAAGACCCATCTCACCTCCATTGCTGAAGAACATATGAGACTGGTCGAGAAATCCTCCCGGTTGAGGTTGCAGAGAGTAATCACTTCCAAGCGCGTTATTTCGATCCTGCCCGGTTCTGCAAACAACAACCCATTAGAATAAGATGAAGATTGAGAAAGTAAAGGGAAGAGATGGCAGGCTGAATAGGTACTAGATAGAGAAAGATAGATGAATCATGAATTGATAGAGGTGAGGGGGAGAGGATGCAAACCTGTTCAGGAGCAAAATATTTGATGGGTATTGAGCTTGAACAGCCATTGTTGGTAATAAAGAGAAAGAGATGCAGAGAGAGACAGAGATATAAATTAAAGAGGGGAAAGGTGGCAGTGAAGGAGGACAGAGGAAGAGAATGGTGTATGGAGAGATGTGTTGGGACGGGCGGGGTTAATTAACGTGCACACACCAGGAGCATGAAACGAAGAGAGAGAGAGAGAGGCTCCCCTCAAACCAAGGCGGATTCTTCAATGAAGAGAAACGAGATAGATAGATAGATAAAAGAGAGTCCCCTTCCCCACTTTGTTTTCACCAACTTTCTTTTGTTTTCCTCCTTATTTTGCTTCCTTTGTTTCTCTCTCTCCCACACATTGAAAGAGAGAAAGAGAGAGAGATGCGATCTCAACGAATCAGTCCAAGAGAGACACCTTATTCTCCTCTCCTCCTTTGCTCAACTTCTCTCGCATGGTTGGCTTTCTATCGTTCTTTCCTTCTTTTTCTTATTTTCTTTTTTTAAGGATATATAAGTAGAGGTACAGTGTCATGTGTGTTGTTGTCAACTTATCATTATTAAAATCTAGTTTATTAATTTTATAAATAATTTCCTGAATTGGTTAAGTTTTTTTAGTATGGAGAGAGGGAGAAAGAGAGAGAAAAGAGAGGTTGTGGTGTTGGTTTTTGTTGCTCTTGTTGGGTTTCGTAGGGTCTGCCAGTCTGCCACTAGGATTGTTTCAAGGAGATGAGGGAAAAAGAAAAACAAGAAAAAAAGAAAAGAAAAGAAATGATTTTCTCTCCTTTTTTTTGTGTTTTTGCTTTTTAATTTAATTGGTTCTGTTAATGTTTTTACTTGGTTTTGAAGATTCAAACCTTCTACAGCTCTCTCTTTCCTTTTCCTTTTAATTCCTTATCTTAGCAAATAAAGAAAGAGTGGAGATTAGATTACCTCCGACCTAATTGCTTGGTTGTTAGTTAAGCAGTTTCATTTTTTTCTCTCCTTTCAGGATTTTTCCTTGATAAAATTCCCCACACAAGACCTTTTCAAAATGACTTATGTAGCCTCCCTACCCTGTATTCAAGGGCACATAGATAGAGAAGTTTTCTAATCATCAGTAGCCTTTACCCTCTATTCAAGGGCACATGGATGGAGAAAAATTCCAATTATCAACTGACTTTAGTTATAACAACATCCCCTTTAATTGACTAAAATGTTGCACTCCCTCTAAAATGCAAAGCTTCCTCTGTCATTCTGTGTGTCCCATCCCAGCTGTGCCAATTCCTGACCCGAACTACCAACCCATTTGACCATGTCTGCTGGCATTAATGTGAGCCGGGTTTAGATTCCATTAAAAGAACCCACCCAATTGATCTGCCCCTATTTTTTCTGGGTTTCTTTGAATGCTCTGAAATCAATTTAGATCACAGTTCAGATCCCAATAGTACCCTTATTTCAGGGTAGCAAAAGAATCCAAATTTTGAGCATTTGGACCCGTTTAATTTGCCTTAGTGATAGACCCAGAAAGCCAGAACCAAATATTCATGCAAACATTCCCTCCCCATTCCCCAAATCCTAAGGATGATGAGTTGATACCATAAGAAGAAAAAGAAAAGGCCAAGGACCCATATTTGGTCTAGGGATGCTTTTGATAATTTCTGGTTTAGTTGTGTTAAGCATGTGTTATGTGCAAATAGAGGGAGTCGAAGTCAATTCATAAAAAGTTGAGTTAAAGTTAAGCTGGAATTGGTAATCTTCCCTCAAACCAAGAAGGATCTTATTTTAATAGAGATGACAGAGAAAGGAAGAAGCTACCAAAAAGAAAAGGAAAATTTAAAAAAGAAAGAGGTAGATAAGGAGGGTTTGTTTGGATAGCCATCACGCAATTTGTCTTTGCTTAGGACCCACGAGGGCGGCCTCCTCTTTTAAACTCTCGCTGCAGTCCTGCACGACAATACAACTCCCCCCTACACACATACACCTCTCACCCAACTCAGATGTCATTGCTTTCCTCTCCTCCTTGACAGTGATTTCTCTCTCTCTCTCTCTCTAAATTATCAAATTATTTCTCATTAAAATAGAATGTTCAGAGTTAAATTGTGAAAGGAGAATCAAGTTGTCTTGCATGGTTTGCCAATAATAGATCCTGAACAGTATCAAAAAATAAATAAATAAATATCAAATGAACCCTGAACAGTGCCGTTGGGTTTCTTTTTTTCTTTTAATAATCTTGGGCTCTCCTCCTAGTCCTAGATGCCCTTGACCATATGCTCTCGGTTTTCCCAAACTAGCCTTGAAGTTAACTAGGTTTTAACTATTAGAGCATGAAACAAAGTCATAAAACCTTGATGAATTACAGACATTATATATAGAAAGAACAAATAGAGATCCTCTAACATGTGGGCTACACTATTCTAATCACTATCTTGTCATTCCAGACCCCCAGATCTCTCTCTCTCTCGTTTGTAAATTAGGAATTAATTGACCATTCAGATTAGCCAATTTATGTTTCTTATGTCATTGGAAATGTGGCTCACTAATAAAATTGTGATATGGTTGTCGGCATCATCATCATCGTCATCATCTAAGCCTTATCCCACCTATTCAAGATTTGATTCACGAATCCTATTTATTTCAACTCATCATCCCGATCCAATCCATCTGTTCCAATCTACATAGGCCATGTTTTTCTTCTAAATTAATAGGGGATGGGCAGCTTGTCCCTTCCCCTGAAAAATGAAAAGTTTAATTTCAATTTAAAAGTATTTTTCTCCTTATTTTTTACTTTTCAGTATCCCACTTAAAAGTTCTTCTAGTTGTAGTTAGAAAAATCAATTACCCCTTTATGCAAACCAAGTCTTGACCAAGTGCAATGAACTTGATAAAAAGAGCTCGATTCAGACACCCACAAAAGACACCACAACCACACATCAGGAACATCTCCCCATGAATGAAACTAAGATGTTCCTGATGTGTGACTGTAGTAATATCTTGTGGGTAGCAGTTCCGGACTTGATCCAAAAGTATTAATTGAATCAATTAACTTGGTAGTTAATGCTTAATTAGGTAGGTTATGAACACTATTGTGATTCTTTAAAAATGGGCAACCTTTATTTTTCTCTCTTTAAAAAAACTTCTCAATGCTCATAGTAAGAGGAAGCATTTGGACAGTGATTAACCTAATTTATACTCCTAATGTGAATCATCATCTCCAAGAAATCTCGGAAAATAAGGCGCATTTCCTTGGGTAGTAGACAGTAAGACACACCCACCTCACTCATCACCATTTCTTTAATCCTAAACCACCCATTCTCCATGTATTTCATTGACCCCTTGGATCCCCATTCATTTCCTTAGATTTCTCTTTCTTTATTGTTCTTTTCTTTTTAGGTAATTCTTTTTCCTCCTTTAAAGGAGATGACACCATCCTCATTCCTCACCTCCACCACTCCTCTGCACAGTCTATCCACTACCTAAGGTTTCCCTCACACCAAAAGTAGTCTCCAACCATCAATAATCACAAGATAGGCAAGAAATTTCTTACCTTTTTCTGTTTTAGTCTTTCCTCCTTTTGATCACACTTAATAGTATATTAACCAAAACCTAATCCTTTCATGAACATAATATGAGCTAGCAAACAAATGGGTGTGCTTGTAGGTGCTCTATTACCTAAATCAACTCTATCTCATCATCTCTCTAAGAGAGAGAGATCTAGAGAGAGAATGTAGAACATGTATGTATGAAATGCACTTGAGACACCTACAAAGCAAGAAATATTGAAAGATGCTTTTTAACTTTTTTAACATTATGGACAAGACTGGTCCAATAGAATTGACCATAGCTGTTGGTTTACTTGTTTGATTAGTTGAGAGAAAAATGGTAACTGTTTGATTTACTAACACTTCCTCCCAAAGTGGCGTATTTCCAAGGCAACTGATGGACCCAGATGAAGTACTCTCATAAATGTTCAGGAACATGGCTTACCTGCTTTTCTCTCATCACATTGATGTTATATGTCACCTACGTAGAGCCCTACTATGAAATACTACTACACGGGTTGTCTCTTGTGTGCATATCAAAGCTTAAAAGCTTGATCCCTGTGGAATCCAATGCGTAGAATGACTATGTAATCTGATGTTCCTCATGATCAAGTCGGCATGTTTATTTAGGGAGTTTATTACTTTAAAAAAAAGTTTGACATCACAGAAGAGTCACAAGATGATCTTGTCTGCTACCTAAAAATGTACCTCCATTGAGATTGATTTTGGAAAAAGAGGTGTTCCTTAATTGGGTCAAACAACAAGCTTCCCTCCATGATCCCACCTATTTTCAACAGAGTACTACTCCCTTTGAGCTTCAATATAACTTGTCATAAGAATTTTAGGTGATTTAGGAATCCCTAAGGATGAAATTGAATTTTGAGAAAGTATAAGAACTTCCCGACAACTTTCTATCATGCCAAACATATATGGGATTTCATAAAATGCCTTAAAAGGATTTTCCCACAATTTTTTCAATTTCAATAATTTTCTCAAAAACCAAATGCAGCCAACTTGAGTAGCAAACCTACCCCCTCCCCCCATTATTTTTGAAAAAATCAACACTTTCATGAAAAATGCTTGCATAAATAGCATTATTGCCCCTATCCAATTTACTATCCCTTTGGCTTGTCTAATTTCTGTTCCTATGCTAACAAAAAAAAAAAAGGTATTTTTTCTTGTCCATCGATCTAACGATACAGCGCATTGACACGTGGAAAGCGTAAATTTTGAAAATTTAAATATTTTTAAAGTATAAGGAAATTATGAAGCATAGGTAAGGTAGAGATTTATTTATAATAAAGTCAGCAGATGGAAGGGTGAGGCATGAAGGCATGACTAATGAGCAAGCAACTAGTACTTGTTCTCTTCTTATAATGCCTGTCACAAGAAGTTTGCATAAAGCTTCATGAGGTTGGGTCTTGGAAATTTGGATTTGTGAATTGACAGAAAACAAACGTGAAACTATGGGATTTTTTGTATTTTGCTTCAAAAGAATTAAAGCCTTCTTGCAAACTCCTTATTCATTGTGGTCACACCTTTGGAACCATCTAGGGACCCATTACCAGGCAGCTTCTGCCTCTTAAGACCTCATGTCCTGTATGTGTAGAATAATTGCAGCTTCATTTAGTATTGGTCCAACCACTGAGATTGTGATATTCCCAAGTGCCGGCTCGGATTGATCAGTTGCTGGGGGCCCATTTTTTAATATAGATGATCAGAACTATTAGAAGGGGAATCAGAATTCAGAAGGACCCACCACTCATTTCAATTTAACATTTTTTTTTCTTCTCTTCTTTGGAGGGTGTTGTATCATATATGAGCTCATTTCAAGAGTTACATATTTTTTTACCAATTTTTTTAAAAGAAAAAAGTCTCATACAGATGAAGAATAAATTGAAAAACCAAGAAAGAAGAAGAAGAAGATGTGATATCAGTGTTCAGTGGTCCCCTGATCTAATGG